GGATCAGACAGTGTTTCACAAGAAAGAGGAAACAAATACAGATACATTCTAAAGGGGCAAGTTAATGGATAGGATGAAAATCACTTTTCCCAGGGGGAAAAATATAGTTTAGCTTCCACATTTTGAGAGGACTCTTATGAAGCTGAAGCCTAAGAGTTCTTCATCCAGACTCTTGATGTTATTTCCATTGGGCATCTTGATTCCTTCAGTTTTCACTATTTTCCCCTGTTGATAGTCAGGGTGGCACATTTGTCCAGTTCAAACTCCATTGTAATATCTTGGCTATATATTTGGACTGTGTTGAGCGGCGATTCCATTTCAATTATGTTTTTCCATACAGCTTCAGATCATCCATGTAAAGGAAGTGGGATAACCTGGCAGATGTTTTTGATGTTTGCTAAATGCGCTTTTTGCAAGTCTGGCATTTTTTCACTTATATTTTTTAAATGACATTTATCAAAGATAAAAACAATACATTGATGATAATACCATTAAAAAAAACCCTATATTGCAAGTCTGGTAGATAACCTGAGTCCAGCAGGGACATTGTCTCCTATGCCTAGTTCAAGACCGTTAAAGGAAACCTTGAAAAACATGAAGTTTGTATCTGTGCCATTTAATTGGTCATATTGCTTTTCCCAGTTATTATTTATTCATCACATTATTTTATAAACCACTTCTCATACTTGTGCATCCAAAGCCACTTCTTAGCCATCTAATCTCATTAGACAAGGTGATTGCCCAGACTACACACAGAGATAACAGCCGAATCTTGTTTGAGGAACTGATTTTATATACAAGACTCTGATAGTATGAATTAGTAGTACTGATTGGATTCAATCTCTCTTAGTTTTCTGTTGCTCCAGGCCTCAGGCCAATGTTGAGAATTCTTTCAGTCCCAACCCAGTTATTTCCTACAGAAAAACAAAACTCTGGTCTGAGATCATTCAGTTGTCAACCTCCACTGTATGGCAGCACCAGCAGAAATGCAGGGAACCCAGGCAGAATGTTATTTCCTTCTCTGTGCGTGTGGAAGTGTGTTTTGGTTGAGACATCTGGGAAGGGGTTTCATTTGTGACCAAATCCTGCACTGTAAAGGAATGGGAAGGATGTGGTAGCCTTGTGTCTCATGCAGGAAAGAGTATTGTTATTCTGTTTTTGTTTTTTCTTGAGTTCAGAGTCATTAAATAGATTGCCTAACAAAGGCATTGCATGGGGAACCATCAAGCTGGGAACTCAGTCTACCTCTTTATCCTGGGGGTAAGCGAGACATCTGTGCAGCCTGATTAACTTAAAGGAAGAAAAAAAACATGCTGAATTTATCCAACTGAGAGCGGGAGCCAGTGCTGCCAATTTGCAGGGTCAATTTTTATATATCTCCTCTTTCCACATGACGATATTTTTAGCATTCTCCATGAATCTGACTGAATGTAAATTGAAAGAAATTCTAAGAGGAAAAAAATCCTGGTGGGTAGAACAGAGAGTTCTTCCATGGTGTTAATTTTAAGGACTCCAAAGGGCATTGTGAATGCCCCTTCTTTCATTCTGCACTGTAATGTACAGTAACCTCTCTAGCAATTTGTCTTCCCTTGCTTCAGTTAAATCACAAGAAAAGGAGCAACACATATAGAGTTTTGGTGTCTTGGGAAGTGTGAATCAAGACAGTCTACAATTGAAAAATGCAAATATTATAACTGAGGGAAAGAATAGCAACAGCAACCACACAGACATATAATACCCTTTAAAATGAAGTAGAAAACATGAGCATCTTTTATGAGGGTGGAAACACTTCCAAGGGTTTGGAAGTGTTTGATATTGGCACAATATTGATGAAAATGAACCAAACAACCCAAAACAGTTGGAGGTTAAATAAAGAGAACATAAAGAAGCTAAAATTGCCAACCAGTATTCTAGTTTATCCAAACAGAGGAGGTCTCCTCTAGTGTGTTAGCTCTGATAAAAACAAAAAACCCAACGGCTTTGTAGGAGGAGAGGATTTTGGCGTGGCTGGAAAGCTCATTGCATAATTAGAGGAATGTAGGTAACAGATCTTTAAAATTAAAACAGACATTTTCTTTCACAGCTTATGAGATTGTGTGTATGAGGTGGGATCACAGAGAGCTAGTGGGGTTTAGTGGTCTAAGGCTTAGAGGTTGGACTAGGACCAGGGAAGTCCAGACTGTTATCCACCCTCAGCCAAAGAAGCCTACTAGGTGACTTTGGGCCAACTGTTCTCTCTTAGCCCAACTCTCCTCATATGGTTGTAGTTGTGGAAAAGCAGGAGGAAGGAGTACCACCTGAAATTCCTGGAGGAAAGATAAGATTTTTATTTATTTATTATTAAATTTGTATGCCGCCCATCTCCCCCAATAGGTGACTCTGGGTGGCTCACAATTAAAAATCAAAAGCCCATAAACAATTAAAATACCCCATAAATAATTAAATTACTCAATCTGTAAAAATCCACTATAAATTTATATAAACAAAGAATAAATAAGTAATAGATGGATGGATAGACAGATATCAGGGTAGAAAAGAGAATGCAGAATACAAAAATAGAAGCTGCAGTGTCCTGTAAGTAGAGTGTCCTACTAAGAGAGACTACAGGGGACAGATGGGTGTAGTTACACAAAACAGTGAAGGTGAGAGCAATGATTTAATGATATAACCTGGGTTACAGGAGTGCAAATTGCTCATTTTTTCCCCTGTTCATTGACAATTTGGATTCATTATGTCCAATACATATGCTGGCAAGGATATGCAGAGGAAGGAGACAATGGCTTGTTATTTTGTTCACATAGTTGTTGCAATGCCCTTATTTGGTTCCTCAGTTCATAGTTGACAGTTCATACAAAATATCACTCTTAATTAGCCAACTTCCCCACAGATGTAGCAAGAACTATTATCTTTTTTTTTCAGAACCTGCTTCCAGTAACTGTCACAGTGTGTGCCCACATTAACTTTTTAATATAGACAAGTTTTGCCTATATTGCTTGGCATGTTGTGTGTCCATGTACTGAGATTTTTCATATTTTTATGCCACTTGAGCATTAGATTAAACAGCAGTGAAGGAAGAATCAGTTTGGGGCAAGATTAGAAAATGGGTGTACCAAAAAGCCACCTTTTTTTCTGGCAATATAATTTTAAATTAGGATAGTTTAAGGATCTGTGGAAATGTTGGTGGTAATTAGAGAAAAGGAAATTCTTCAAATGGCAACATCTGAAACTAAGATGTTTTAACAGTCTCTTGAAGATATTGAGTGGTATGTCAAGGGAAGGATTAGACCAGACATTATTCCTGAATATGACAAAGGTGGTTTGAAAATGCTTGGTGACATTTCAAGGGGCCCACTTGCTATACGAGGGCCATTTGGTTTGCCCTCTTTTTCCAGAAGCCACCGATTCATCAAACTGGTATCAACTGGTGCACATGCAGAATCGTAGAGTTGAAGGGGGCCACTTAGACTATCATGTCCTATTGTCTGCTCAGTAAAGCAATCCAGACTGAAATGTCTCCAACGAATAACTACCTAGTCTCCACTTCAATACATCTGGTGAAGGGGAACCTGCCACCTCTCTGAGTAATTGATTCCACTGCCAAAATACTTGCACACTTAGGAAGGATCTTGCACATTTGGTCAGAATCTGTAATGCTACAACTAGCATGGTTGTAGCTAGGATAGCTCTGCCTGGCCATGATTCCTGTATCTTCAACCTGTGCATTCAGTACAGTTGAGCTGGAATGCAGGAGCTGAATTTTAATTCCATGTTCATCAGCGTTGAGTCCAAAAATCAGTTTCTCACTATTTTTCTTTGTTTTTATTGTAGTTCAGTTTGCAAGCACAGTGTAGGTTAGTGAATTTGCAGTATAGTATCAGCTGGTCAAGAGAGCTATATCAATAGAAATAAGGCAGAGTGTGAAGCCATAGTTTGAAGTTGGCTTGCTCTGAAATTTGAATCCTGGAAACTTGATTATTTGCCCAGGTACCAAAGGGATGAGCATATGTACCCACAAGACTTTAACTACTGTTCAGTGTATGGGTGTGTATTTGTCTGGTAACTGTTAATTTTTATATTCTATGTAGCATCCACCCAGAGCAGAACTCAGGGTAACAGCTGAAGGAAGAAATTTCATTGTGGATGTTGAGAAGAATGAGTAAGTACTTGAAATCTTACCATCATAAAGAAAGGTAGAAATAGTTGGGCGGTGCAGTGCTTCAAATTGAATCTCCAAAAATTGCTCTGGGGCACTTCTCCACAGTCCTTTGACGCAGCTTCTCCCAGGATCTCAAAGCCCCAATTAGTATATTTAAGTACATTAAGCAGAAGCTTCCAGGTCTTTTAGGGTCCAAGTAACTAACCTAAAGGATTGACATGTATGTTTAAATATGTGGCAGAGAATGGTTTGGGAGGCACTGTAATATTTTCTGTCACTGATAAAGCATGCATGTGCTCTTTCACATTTCTCCTTTTCCTGAAGCTTCACTACTATGCATTGGTAAATGATGCCTGGTTGTATTATAATTGCAGGAAATAATGTGTGGTAGTTATTACTGTTGCATATACAGTAGCTACAGTATTTGCATGTCAAAACAAAAAACTGCCATATCAGGTCCTCAGTAATGAAAATTAGTATGAACCTTCATTTGTGTTCTTAAAAAGAAATAAAGAAAGGCCCACATATTTGCATTTGGACAATGATGGAATAACATTAAGTGCATTTAGTCTAATCCTATTATGAAGTGTGTATCTAGCTGCCAAACTCTCCCTCTACAGAGTGAAGTTTTCATCCTGTTTCCTAGTGATTTGGATCTACATCCTACTGTAAACATATTCTCTGACCATCTGCTCTTAAATTTCCAGCAACATTTCTGAGTTGTATAAAGCAATACAGGCAAAGCCACTGATGCGGCAGGATTGGAAGAAGTGGAGTCATAAGCAAAAATTATTAGCTTGGAGGATGATGACATAACCGCCTGATGGCTCCTGGGAATTTGCGGTGCTATTTTCATGCAAAGCTTGCTTTCAACAGGCTAGCAAAACTGAATATATATCTTATGTTTACTTCCCCACTGAGCCCACCATTCATCCAAACATGCACGCATAGCCATTCAACTTTATAAGGGATTGAAAGAGACAAATGACCTGGATTCATAATTTTATATATGCACAGTTTAAGTGTTATGAATTTAACCTTGTGCAGTTTTCAGGTGTTCTAAACATTAGCCATTTAGTTCTTTGTCAGTAGAAATTATTTTATTCTAATTAATTTTTATTATATCTAAAACAAGAAATTATTGAGTTCCTGGGGCATCACACAGTGGTTTCATTACCACTATCTTTATAATTTTAAGACAATGAGATAGGGGAAGAAGGATAATTTTTTAAAAACTCTAATGGTTGGAACCATAGAAAAACTTCAGTAGAGTTTGTATTTTATAGTGGGCTAAAAGTGAGAAGATAGAAAGTCCAGAATGTCAGGCTAACCAAATATGTAGTCTAGAGGTGACAGTCTGGTGGTAAATGGCCACATTTAATATATTTGGAAATGTGAGGGCTGTAGTGGGCAGGGCAGTATTCCACTCATGAAGTGAGCCAAGATTTTCCATTTTATTTCTGGGTTGGGGGTGGGAAGTTTTGAGGTTCCCATTGTAAGAAAAATTTCCCGTTAAAGAAAATTGTGTTAAACCTCACTTACACTAAATATACTCAGCTGACATCTAGAGCTGAAATCCTATATTCATGGAACCCAGGGGAGTATCTGTGGTCATCTAAGTATTAGGACACAGCAAGCTGTTGCAAAATTTTCTTTAGCAGAGGATGTGCTTGATTTCAGCATCTGTTCGGAACAGGATAACCTCAGTTGGTGTACCCCATGAGCCAGAGGCGTTTATCTTCAGTATTTGGAGACCACTCCCAAGCATGTAGCCAGATTGGAAAGTTAAAAAGCATTGCAATGGTAAATTGTTCCTGTATTGCTGCCACGAAAACTCCATGTATGTGTCCATGAACTTATGAGGAATCAAACTGATTCAAAGGAAACTTTATTTAGGCTAGAAGACAGTGATCTGGGAGGCTGGTTGTAAATGAATTCCCTTCAGAGACAGTTAGGCTTCAACCAACCACAGTTGTTCAATTAACCAGTCTTTTCACTAAACAAGCCATGGCTTAGCATGTGAATTCAGTCACTGAGCAGATTCACATATGCTAAGCTATGGTCTATTTAATCAAAATGTACCAAATAAACCACATATGGCTGGCCTCATGCTGCACACCAAGCCATACCATCGCCATATTTACAAACCATGATCATTGGGTTCATACAGCATGCTAAACCAAATCAGACAAGCCTCGCTTTGGCATAATGTCCTGTGTGAATCCAGCCATAGAGGGAGATTTTAAAAAATGGTGTACAGATAGATAAGGCTAATAGTAGTACACAAATGCACATCTGTCATAAAATCATGATAGGTGCTGGACTGATCCACCACCTAGGTGACATGGGATTGATGTACAGCCAAAGGGTCAGAGAAGCAGGACAGCTTTGCATGCTTAAAAGGGAAAACCCGGTTTAACACCAGAACATCTCAAGACAATTTAAGCTGCCTCAGGTGTTGGTTGGAGATGAAATGAAGACAACATCAGGAGGCCATGGCAGAAAAATGAGGTTGCCAGAGGGTATTCATGCCATGATTAAGCGCGAGAGGGGAAAGGTCGATTAGATTCATTATTAGGTGTTTTATAATAAGTTGTGATTAGTAGTAGTAGTTTTATTTATTATGCACTTATAACTAAGCATGATATACACATAGAGTGAAACAACAATTGGTACAGTAACATATTACATTCAACTGTAACATCATATTATAAATTAAGAAGCCTCTAAATAAAAAATAGTTAATAAAATAAGCCTCTATAGAGTCAAAGTAACAGCTAAGAATTTATTTATTTATTTAGCTATTTAAAAGTGAGCTAAAAAAGAAGTATTTTTCATGCTTTTTTAAAACTTATAATCATAATCCTGGTGGGAATAGATCCAAAGAATTGGAGACAGGTGGGGAAAAGCTCTTAACTGTGATGTGGCTCAGAAGCAAAGACCCTGGTTCAATAATCAGGTTAAACACGCAGGTCCATGAACCACTAGCAGGTCTTTCAAATCACTGGGAGTGCTCATACCCAGAGGATGATGCATCACCACCATCAATTGTCCTGACCGCTTTTTCAAAAGTCCAAGCGATATACGGATTGGCAATACAAAGAGATAGGGTCAAAAAAAGAGATAGGTCCAGAGCAGAATGATAGCATTCTGGAAGGAAATCTTGGGTTCCGCTGTATTTGAGGATATTTGAAGATACACTGAGCATATTCTAACTAACATTAACTTACATATACCTTGATATTGCCAGTATTGTGTCAGTACAAACCACACTTAATTCCACAGGAAGTTACTCTATTTACATACAATCTCTGAATCGATTCCCAAGCACCCAGTGAAGTCTCATTTATTTTTTAAAAAATGGGTTGTTGAGATTCTTAAGTTCTGCAGCTGCAAAATAGAAAGCCCAAAGTAGAAGGATATCATGAGAGTCATGGAATATAACATTGGCCATTACAGTCATCAGATGTTCACAGATGTTTTTTAAAACACAAATTTCTGAAAGGAAGGAAGAAGGAAATCAGTCCTCTTTGGCTGAAGTTAATGAAGTCTTGAAGTTGTAATAAAAACAGAAATACACTTTTTAAAGTCTGTGTTTAAGAATTAATTGCTTTGGATGAACACTGACCATCCACACAGGGCAACTGGAGACAAGTTCAGGAAGGAAAAGAGAGGATTTTGGTTTGGAACAGAGGCAGCAGCATCTGCAGGGTTGGCAAAGGGGGTTAGAGTGATACAGGTGGAGTCATGGTGTCTTGCTGCAAGCCTTGCCCCTTTTCTATGTGTGTCATGATGTCACACACATACCCCAAAGGAGCAGGGTTTGCAACTTGATGCTGTGATGCTGCTTTTTTCATTCTGACCAAGGCAGCTTGAGGTTGTGGACACAGCTGAATGGAGGTTGGGGTCAATCATTTTAAAAAGATTTATTTATTTATGTCCTATACATGTATGTTGCCCATTTCCAAAGCCTCGAGGCAGCTAACAGTGAACAGTTCTTTAAAAAAACAACACCTAAACCAAAATTCAGTCAGAAAGAACTTAAAAAAAAAAAAAAAAAAGGTATGCCACAGAAACCACCAGGATTTTGTAAAACACCCTCTTCCTGGCCTATCATTTTAGCAAGTTTCGGCAGCTAACAGTGAACAGTTCTTTAAAAAAACAACACCTAAACCAAAATTCAGTCAGAAAGAACTTAAAAAAAAAAAAAAAACAGGTATGCCACAGAAACCACCAGGATTTTGTAAAACACCCTCTTCCTGGCCTATCATTTTAGCAAGTTTCCAGAAAACCACCTTCTTCTGATGATGAGGTATGAAATAGGCCACAGCTGCACTGAGAGGAAGTTCCAAAGAATTGGGGCACCAATGGAAAAAGCCCACCTCCAAGGCCCTTTTAGAGGACAATCCCACAGGAATGAGACCTGGAGTTAGTTAATCTATATGATTTGGTTGTACAAGCAGATGAATACAGGAGAAGGCAGTCCCACAGATAATCAAGACTGGAGCCATGTAGGACTTTATACAGGTGACAGACAGCATCTTGAATCACGACTGGAAGCCCACTGGCAATCAGTGGAGTTCCCAAAGCAGAGAGGCACTTCAGTACATCAGGGCACACACATCACTGCTCGAGCTACCACCTTTTGTAGTAACTGTAGCTTCTAGCTGTTCAAGGGCAGCCCCATGTAGAGCCCATTACAGTAATGTCCTGGAGGTAACTGGAGTGTGACTGACCATGAGCAGTGACTCCCAATCCAATAACAGTTGCAGCTGGTGTATCAGATGTAACTGTGCAAAAGCCCTCTTAGTCACAGTTGTCACCTGTTCTTCAAGCAGGAATTGTGAGTCTAGCAGAACTCCCAAATTGTGAACCATCTCTGAGTTGGGGAGTACAACCCTATTCAAGAGATAAAGATGGTACTTCCCTGGAATCGTTAGGCCCACAAACTCAGAGCCACTCCATCTTGAAGAGATTAAGCCTGAGTCTGCTCCTCCCCA